TAGATGGGACATGTGGGTGCCCCTGGTAGTCTATCCTTGGACCATGTACTCCCGCCCCAACCTGACTCCCGGCTCCCGGCCACCACATCGGCGCGCTCCAGCGCATCGATCTCGGTGTCGAGGGTGGTTCCCGGGTGCCGGGGTGGGAGGTTGAAGGGGTGGTCATTCACCTCAAGTCCAGGTCACTGGGCTGGGGAAGAAAACCTGGAGTGGACTCGGAGTGGATGGACATTTTGTGTTTGCTCCAATGGCTGACCCCTTGAGCGCTTTGAAGAATAGGAACCCTTCTCATCTTCTTATCATGCGGTATCTTTGGTAGATGGGACAGCTTGAAGGTGTCTGAGGTGGTCACTAATAAGTCCCTAAAGAGGTCACTTAGAGACTCGGAAGAGATCACTTTGAAGGTGGAAGAGTTATAGACGGATTCCCACCGTGGCGAAGTATCGCGTGTAAAACAAATCCTTCGGTCTCAGCATAGGTTCATATACCCAGACACTCCATGGGACTGCCATAGGACTGCCGATCAACTGACGCCAGGTCAACCACCCCTGGCCTGATCGGCAGTCCTGTGGCAGTCCCAGACAGGTTGTGTCTGGGATAGGTTCCTTTGAAGCCATGGAACCGTAGCCGATCCGTAGCCGGATGACGCCGCGCTCGAGGACGAATGGTCTGGTGATGGTCACACATGTTTGTTTTTTTTCAACACTCCTAGCTTGAAACTCCTGGAAATCTTGAACAGAAATATGTGTTTACTTTTTAGGGACGTTTAGTTTAGGTAAACCACTGTGGATTGTTCAACAGCTCTTTGCAAATGCTTGTTAAACTCATTCCCTCATTCCCAACTAAGCACGAGCCGAACAGGAAACCATGGTTTCTACGATTCTACGTGTTTCTATACCAAAACTATGGGTTTCCTGTAGATTTTCCTTAGACCAATTCTGGGACACATACTTTGCAACAGCTTCAAGCTGGTGTTTCCATGCTGCCCTACCATCCTCGAGGTCGGAGGTTCCGACCTCTGTAGGACGAGATCAGGCTATGTCATGCTGAATAGGCCTACTCTCCGAGTCATTCACATGGAAGTGGAAAACACCCTGTTTGTCGGAGAAAAAAAAAAAAACTCTTCCAGGGACCGCTTTTCCATCATTCTTTCAGGGAGTGTGATTGAACCAAATCTACCCCCTGCACCATTTTTGGGCTTCCAAACTCCAAAGGATCCAAACCACGTCGCCTCCGTTCTCACGCGCGCACACCACGCGTGGAAAACACGCGTGAAACGCTTCCCCGAACGCCGTGGTGGTTCCTCCCAGCGGCATCTGGTGTGAAGTCCCCAGTCAACTCCACAACCGTCTTTCCCAGCCTTGGTGAAACTCCAAGAACGACGTGAATTTATCTGTCACCACTTCACTGAACGACTCGCAAATAGTTACCACAATGTTAAGTAATTTGATGATCATAGGAATACAATATATATATATACATGGAATCACTTATGGAATCATAATTAGTTAATTGCTAAAATAGGTGGTGCTGATATTGTTTATCTTAATCAGGATCCTTCACCATATCTCACCATACTGTCTTTAAGGGGTGTGCCTTTTCCCGAAGTCATGGAGCACAAAGCGAACGGTGAAGCTCGTCTTCCATCGCCACCGGGCCACCAGAGTCGGGTGAGGAGGTCGGGGTGACGACACCGGTTTCGGCCGTCCGAGGCCGAAAGACTGAGGCTCAGGGCCGACCATGGACTGGGTAGCTGGGAAGAACTGGTGGAAGGACCTCTAGAGATGAACATGAATGGGTTCTAACATCGTTTAAAGGGGAAACATCTACAGGAGACCATGGACTGGATTGAAACTCCGCAAAACCTGGGGTGTTGTCCTGCAGATGTTCTCTTAATCCCTTACCCTATGATCGATTGATGTGCCCCTCCTCCGTCTCTGAGCGCTTCCTCCGTCTCTGGGCGCTCCGGGCCGCCGTTGGAAGCGCTCTTCCCAATCCTCGGCAAATGCAAACCGTCCAAAACACGGATGGGCCTGGAGTCGACCCGGAACTCGTACCTCGGACAATGAGTACTAAAAATATAGTAATGTAAAGTTAGGATTAATAAATCCCCCCTAGTCAACCCGGGGGGGGAGGGTGTATTAATCCGGTCTTCGCATTAAGAGTGAGTATTATTTTTTGACCCAATTTCTAGGTACTTTAGAGGGTCCAGGTGGATATGTATTAAGATAGGGAGGAAGATGGAGGAAGAAATAGACCAAAACCATCCCAAAACCCTTGGGGCGATTGGGGGGCCCCCCAATTCAAAAACACACCCACTTGCTGGAACAGTCACGGTCACGTCGACTTGTGTGGGTGGATGCCCCAGATGGCCCAGGATGACATTGAAAAGCAGCTGTCATGGGTGACAGGTTGAGTGCCACGTATGTCATGCGACTGGAATGTGCCGAGATTTGTTCACGGACTCCTGAAACCAATGGAGGTAAATATGCATGATTGTCTGACGTCTCGGTATGTTTCATGCAAAGAGTCTGAGCTGCTGTGGTGGAAAACACTTGCTCCTGGTTCTTGGAGATTCCAGCCACATCTATCATTTCAGGAAAGGTTGGAAGAGTTGCATAATTTGCATTCTCCAAAACGGTCAAAGTCCCATCTCACAAAGTCTTCAAATCTCTCCAGGATTGGCGCGGTCTCCGTCCCTAGATAGACTCAAAGGTCAAGGAAGGACCTCTGAGGATATGGTTGGAGATTAACTTCTCAATCGATTGTGAACTTGTGAACTTACTACACTCCGCATCTCCGAAGAAAGCAGCATCAACAAAAGCTGGCGCCTCCATCCTCTCGCGCGCGAGAGCTTTTAAGGGCGCAATGTAGATGACCTGGCCCATGCCAGCGAAAGTGGTGTTTTCCCACTCACCGTGCACCGGCCCCTGGAAGATGACCACATCGCCCGACATTCACGACACCTTCACCCCAACCATGTTTGTCCAGGGAGTGTAGCCATCTAATATCTACCAGCACCGGAGGGAGCATCAAAGATGACGTGTTGACCTTTCTGCCACTCGTGCACAATCCCTAAGGATCTACAAACCTTCTGAGAAGGTACGGACTGACCCTCCACATCCACTCCCAACATTCCCAACCAGCTTCTCGATATGATGTATGATTTGATATGACAGGCATGTGTCGTAAGTATATATATATATACTGTAGATATCATTATAGACCCTCTCAGGGAACTATGATGACACTTGACCTTCTGAAGACTTGGCACATTCAAAAACAATTGTTTTTCATGTCTGCATGCGCGTGAGACGGAGAAGACGGTCTGAAAATGACGCTTAGCAGTCAGGGCGCCGCCATACCAGAACAGCATTAGCAAATCCTTCATGCCTTCGCGAGGTATGGCTCATGCATCTTTAAACAACAATAATTACAGAATCCCCAGAGACAAAGAGAGGAACACTGTTCAGGAATCTCGATGGTTCTTGCGGCGAAGAGACACGTCGAATAGCATTAAAGCAAGTCGATGTAAATTCAATGCAAAATGGGAGAACGTTGGTCTCCCCATTCTAATACAAACACTTGTCCAGTCTTTCGCCTACATATTGGCTGTTGAGCCACACCGCGCCGTGATTGCGATCAGACCGGTTTCTCATCTCACAGCGCTTCGACACTCAAGAGCTCCTTGGAGATCCAGTCGTGATGCCAGCGATGGGCTTAAGATACATCAACAAACAATTGTACCTTCGGACTATCCAAGGAGGATCCCGTATGCTCCATTGAGGACTACAAGTATAGAAAGGGTATACTGATGTATACTGTATACTACATTATTACATTACTACATCAAGCTCTTAGACTCCTAAATTCTGCCAACTTTTGAGGTATAATGCTTCATCCTGTTTCATCTTTTTATCTACCGGGTCCACAACACCTCCACAACTCGCGAGATCTCGTCTCCATGCCGATCACACCCCCACGTGTCGGCGGGGCTAGGGGTCCACTGGCTCCTGTAGACATGAGCCCCTTCAAATTCCAAGCACTGCCTCGGGAAGAGGAACCTCGCCTGTTCAGCTGCGATCTGTGCCGCTGTCTGCCGTCCCCAATCCGCCCCGCCCGGTGAACAAGCCCTCGCGCCGCCGAGGTGCGCCGCAGGCGGCCCCGGCGACGCCGCAGCAGCGGCCGAACCCAGCGGCGGGGCAGCCAGGCGCTCAGCCGGGTGATGGCCCTGGGTGGTGGAATAGCGGCTGCAGGGCGATGGCCGTGGGCTGTGGGGGTCTTTGACCCATTCAAAACCGGGGCGACCGGCTGGTTGACCACAGAAAATGACCAGAAGCAACGACAGGAATGATGTGGGTGTGGAATGGTGTGGGTGGTAGACAGGGATCCGCGGCTGCAGTGGCAAGGATGTGTGTGTGTGTGTTGTGTTTTCGAGAGCTGTATGAACTACGGGATCGTGGTGGAGGGGCCGTGGTGAGTCAGTACTGGTCACCGGCTGGTGGCGAAATCCTATGCAGGTGGATCTTCATCCAGATCTGTGTGGAACTTGATATGGTGGATGTTATCTTCACTGGGCATCTTATCTTCACACCTGGCAGTGTGTGCAGATCTGTATGGCACTTGAGGCACATCCTGGTGGCTTTCCTATGGTGGTCTTTATGGTGTGCCACTTGGAGGTTGGCACTTCTGTGGATCCGTGAAAGTACGTTGCAGTGCGGATAGTGCATTGCCACAAAGCGGAATCACAAACCGAGCAGTGAGTATACTGGTATGGCTCAGCATGTGACAAGTAATTGCTGAAGCTCAAAATGCACAACATGATGGAACAACATGGAACAGCATGTTGAATGAAGCTTCACAGGCGTGGGGCTTGGGCATTTTGAACATGCCAAATAATTGACGAACCCATCCCGCATCCACACACACACACACACATGCTGTGCACCTTCTGCAATCATGTATGCTGCAAGAAACTCAGCCGCAGAACAGTTTTTGACCGCTGGATTTGACCCACATGGTGGTTCCCTCCACAAAAACGTCATGAAGCAAAGTCCTTCACAAATCTGGCATGTGTTCATTCTGCAAAACAGACCTGTACAACAGGGCGTGCTAAGAAGAAAACAAAGCCTCTGTACACGCGAGCCCTGTTCCAAACAATGTTATAGGCTGACGCATATTTGCGCAGGCAGTTCTGCATGATTCTGCTCAGGTCTTCTGCGAGATCCTTGAAGATGCTAGGAGGATGCTGGCAAGAGACTCCTGACAACGAACGCTGTGCCACTTGCGAATCGACAAATCTTCCCAAAAACAAAGAGGGACTCCTAGTGGAATGGGATCCAACTTAATTTAGACTCTTGACTCTTGATCAAACAAAACTCCGAGGTGTTGCAAACCAAACATATCGCAGAGCATCCATGTATGGCATATTTACAATGATTGCTGGGTATGGCTTTGATAGCAAATATGCCCTACATGGATGGTCTGGGTATGGCTTTGATTCCGCGCGCCCCGCGTCCTCCAAGCGGCCCAAGGCCCAGCGGAGCGAAGGCTTCGGGCGCCGTGGGGTCGAAGCCAAGGCTTCGGAGCACATGGCATAGCCTTGGATGACTTTGGAACGTCAAGAGATGTCCATCTCTTCCCCAGGTGTTGGGGATGAGCAACTGAGAGGGAGATGAGATGTCCATCACCTGATCCAAGCAGCTCAGGAGGTTGCACCGTACCGACCTGCAGGAGCCATGCAGCGGGGTCAACGGATCGAGTCCCTCTGAGAAAGTGATGTTTAGACACGTTAGGCCAAGGAGAGTCCAGTACATACCTGAGAAGGTGGCAGTGGATCAGAGTGGGTTATCAGGCGAGAAGACCCGACCAAAGGGTGATGGGTCGACTTTAGAACTTTAGGCCTATAGAAGTCGTTGTGCCTATAGAGGCACCAAAACAAAGAAAACCATTGAACACCTGGCCTTTGACCAACCTCGTTCAGTAGTGGTTTTCATATGACCAACACCAGAAGAATAAGATCCCACCTCTGGGGAGGTGTCGACAGACTCCTGTCCGCTGACCCAGCCCACAGAAACAACGTTTATGCAATGCAATCCTATAGCCCCCACCCCCCCACCCCTCTCCAACTTAGAGGCCAAGTGGCCAAGTGAGGATTTATCTCCTGGGTGTGCAGATCCTATATGCCCTGAAAACATGTTTTCGATTTTGACATTTCAAGCGTAGTGGACCCCCAGGATTTAATTTGGGCAGTACAAAGGAGGATCATTTATAAACCTAGATTGCTTGGCTCATGTCCAGACCAGACTTGTGGTCTTCCGTGGCAACATCCCACCCCAGGTCACCTCCCCAGAATCGCTGCAGTCCGTACACTTCTCACCACGCTCACCAGCCTCTCACTGGAGAGCTGCAAGAGCTGCAGCACTTCGCGCCAGCGAAGGGCTTGCCCACAGGCGCTGATGGCGTTGGTGAAAGTGATGACATCTTCTCGCCTCAAACACCCCTGCGCCTCTGACCCCAGTGGAGGAGCTCATCTGTACGTGCGATGTTTGGGTTCCGGTCCCTCTTTAGTCATAGGAAGTGCAGCTGGCTATGTACGGCGCAAACGATCTCAGTTGGTCCAGATCTGGTGAAAGGACACGACCAAGGTCACGTTTAAAAACACGTTGGATCCGCAAGCGACCCATCAATTGGCGGCATACGACCATCCGTGAGGCCATGAAACAACAATGATCGTCGGTGGAGAAAGTCCGACAAATCCTCGGCCATCTCCTATATCCCAAACACTCCATGTATATCCATGTATGCCATATATGCCGATCAGTTGGGGTGGTTTTTGGGGCTCAAAAGAGCGGCATATATATGGCAGTCCCATGAATTGTTTGGGATATCCTTTGTTGGAATCCTCGACTTCGTGCCCTTGGGGGCCCACCACGGGACCGCAAAAGTCTGGATCACAGAGGTTGTTCAATCAGTTTCAGCCTTTCTGCTGGCTCCAACCAGTGAATGTAGTTGTGATTCTCCAGGGTTACAACACAGAATCCCAAGGTTTTCGAGCATGGGACAAACATTCGACTCCTGCGAACCGGCTCATTCAATTTCTCAAGCACGAACGCTCCACACCGAACTTCTCCAACGAAAAGGCGCCTCTGGTGAAACACGGGCCATCATGAAGCACCATGATGGGAGGAGGCCACTGCGAACGGACCGGGCCACTCGATCTGGACTCTCATGACGCACGGCCCCAGACCGCTGAACGACGCTCTCCTCTGGGAGCGTCCCCATCTCCCCCGCCCATCTCATACCATGTGGCAAGCCCCGGTGGGCACAAAGCGTCCTGATGCTTGTGCTGTGCGGCTCCCGGGAACTCGGAACGTGTCGAAACAAAAAGTATCTTCAAAAAGCGGGAATTCACCCTCAACGGGGGAAATCAACTCAACGGACATCAACAAAACCAAGCTTCAGCAGGCTCAAGGCTTCTTCCCATCGGCTGGCTTTCTCGCAGGCCAAGATGGCCATGTTGAAGCTGGTCAAGTCGACACTCCTTTGAAAAGGTGAAAGCTCGATGACACTGAGAGAGGTCAAAGAAAGATGTCAAAAGAATTAATAATATTTATATACAGATAAAGTTTCATCAACTTTCTATCTAGAATGGGGTAATTATATGTCATCATAGTAGGTTGACATCTCATGGAAGTGGGAAGTAGGCCGGCCAATGCCCATCTCATGAATACGAGAACTCATTGGTCCATCAAAGTACCCGAGACATGGTTACATGAAGAGAGAAATCCAAAACCCTACACTCCCTGAACACTTCGATGGACATGTCATCCGAACTCGGGGCACACGTTGGCCCATGATGGTTGGAGGGAGTGTCCTGATGCCAAGCACCTCCTCAAAGGGTTGAACTCCTGAAACCGAGCCCCGAGAAAAAGCCAAGCTGGAGCCATTTCTGCGACCGTTTTTGGAGCCCATAGTCCACCGGAGCCACCCCCTTCATTACTTTTCCCACGCCCTTCGTCGGGTTCGCAGCTCCTTTCGACGGGTTCGTGGAGCTTCTGCTGGAAGAAGAGTCTGAGCGCCTGAAGGCGATTTCATCAGACGTGGAGCTAGTCCCCACCGACCCGCGCCATGGATCTAGTCACCATGAGATCCAGGGTTGATCCTTGCAATCCCTAAAACCGCAAACACTTGTGCCTAACTCGTCTTTGTCCGGAAAAGCTTCTGAGCTTAGGGTTGGAGGGGGGAGTTGCTTTTTCAAGCGACTAAACTTTGTGTGTGTGTGACGCAGCAATCAACAACTTCTGGTGCTCAACTCCACACAAGTTCCGGCCACCGACCCCCACCTGGTCCCATCGTTCCGCAGTGACGCTCAGGGCAGCGTTGTAGAAGATCATATTTGCAACACTGCGCCTTTGCACCTGCGGCAGAGTCTGGGGCGCTGGTGAAGTCAATTGAAATCCATCCTTAAAGGCTTTTGAACCCCACGCGCAACCAACAGAAACATTATGGGTGGAACCCCTTAGCTACAGGATTGACTTTATCTTCACTAAGCGGCAACTGGGAAGATTGATACATCCCGGCCACAGGTGCAGTAACGCAACATGAACTGATGGCCAGGTTTTTCCGGACGCTTGGGAAGACGCATTGATGGCAGTTCTTATGCGAAAGGGCTCCTTATTTTCAAGACCATTTTAAAACAAAACACGGATAAACACCGCAGTATACCGGGCCGTGTACATGGTATGCTCATGGTATGCTAGTGTAGGCAGTATGCTCATGGTTCTCTTCGCATACCGGGCCCGGCGAGCGGTCCCTGGTCACTTGAACCGTCCACAGGCCGGCGCGGACAAACGGTTCTTCGGTCCCAAAGGGAGGAACCAGGACACAACGTGTTCATAAGTGTGTGTTTTTTTTTTTTTTTTTTTTTTTTTTTCGCATGTTATAGTTGGCGATCTGTGGGTGGACAAACATATCATTAACTATATATGTATATATCCATGATGCATACATACAGATTGGATGCTTTAACTTGATTATTGTTCCTGTTCCATGTGGCCCCCACCTTTTTCCCCGTGATTCAACACGAGGTAAAACGCGCAAACCAACCGGACGGCGCCCCGGGGGGGCACTTCGGGCAGCAGGAGCAGCGCACTGGGCCACTGCACGACCCTGACGGAAGGAGCGGCAGCTGGGGACTAAAGCCTCCGACCCTTTGAGGGTCGAAGCTCCAACCCTCCAGGGTCGACCTGGGAGGTCTCCCTAGGAGGTCTCCAACACACACACACACACACCTTGAGATGGTCTTCCATGAGCTTCCAAAGCCATCCCTTCTACACCTTCCTTTTTCAGAATTCTGAAAACTGCCAGGTCTCTTCGTTGGGCCCTTAACAGGTCGGTCTTTCGGCCAACCCTTGAAGAACGCCCCCGTATGAAGCCTAGAATTCCGACGTCGCAGGCCCCGGACTTCGAGATAGCTTCGAGTCCCGGGACCCCAAACCCGGATGGATGGGTATGCTACATGGATGGGGACAAGTTGGGACAAGTCATGTTGCAGGTTTCTTGTGGCTAACATTGCCGATGTTTTTCCATGAGTTGTCATATCTGAAATACATGTAAGTCGAGAGTGGATGGCACAATCCTCAAGGTCGGTGGATCTAGAAGACATCTTGGGAGCCCAGTACCATCTACTCGGAAATCAACGAACAAAAATCAAGGTCTTGGTACTTCATGGCATGTCTTCGAAAACAGGTTCCGACTCCAACAAGTCGCTCGTGGCTGGCCAGGGCAGAGGTGAAGGAAATCACCTGAGGATTGGGTTGAAACACCCTGCTAAGCAGGTGGAGCAGACTTTTTGTCCAAGGTGCCACCATGAGCCACCTCTTCTTGGGAAAATTATATGTGGATCCATTGAACAAGCTAACTCTCACGTCCTGTTACAAACACGTTATGTTCGCGAGGGGGTCCGGATGGGTCCGGCAGTTCGTACGGTCCGACTCAGACCCCTCAGGATCGGTCTGGGAGGAATGACAGCCAAGGCCAGATTGGAAGGAAAGGACATCTTAACTCGTCTGACTCTTGCCGGCCCGCAAGGCCATCCCTTGCTTCCTGGCTGGGTCACTCCGAGAACTTCTTCCCCAAGCGACCAAAGCAAAAAAGCTTCTGTCAAGGAGTTCCCAATTCCCCCCCCAAAAGGTGACCTGAAGGTGGTTCACACTCCTGCCCTCCAGTCTATACCTTCTTCTCAGGTACGGTGATTGGAGACACTGTTATGTAGCTTAGGTTTTTTGCAGGGTCCAAGATGGTCCAAGTACCTTCTGAGAGGGTATTTGGATCCCTAGGGCTGGGTAGGCCAAGGTAGGCATCTTCAAGATCAGCCCGAGTGGCGTTGGGCTCAAGGAAGGACCCTTCGAGGCGTTGAAGGAGTTCCACAGCCCGCTGCCACTCGGCATGCCCTGGAGTACCGCTGGAAGGAGGCACTGTGCCGTGGAAGGAGTTGACTGTTGGATGTGAAGGCCTGACTTCTATTCACTGGGTTTTCGGGTATGAACTACCGGCATGGGGTATACAGACTGGGCTTCAGCTGCTGAAAACCATTCCAAAAACTATAGACTGACTCCCTCACTTGCCCCACTGAAGCAAAAAGGTTATATTATATAGACCTTTTTTCCCGCTGTTCATTTTGAATAGGGAAATCAATGCCACCAAAAGCGCAGAGGTTACCCACTCACTAAATAGGTAGAGATTATCCTCTGGTTGTGTAGGTGCATGAACCATCCTCGATGATGATTTCCTATCTGGGACAACACAACACACTACTCTGTTTTGTTGGGAGTTCTCCAAGAGAATCACGCATCAGCCATTTTGCAAGCCATGCACACCAAACACTCATGGCCACTTATCCATCTCAGACAGTCCACCCAACGGAAAAACAAGAAAGCTTCGGAGGGTCCAGAAATGGAGTTGCAAAGGATTCAATGTATTTTTTGGCCTAGTTAGGGAAGAACATCTGCAGGAAACAATGGACACTTCAGACACTTCACGCCAAAACGATGGGTTTCCTGTATTTGGTTCCCTTAAACCAATTCTGTGAAGGATGGTCTTCTCGCGTTGTTGGTGCTGATGAAACACTTGCACGTTGATCACGCCGCAAAGCCAATTCTACCCAAAAGACTGTTGCAGCTGCTGATGGTGGAGTTGAAGGAGATCCTCGACAAATCGAGGAATCCGAACCCAACCGATACCAGCAATTCCAAAGGAATGCTTTTTAATGCTTTTAAGTGAGTGGAGAATGGGCACCCTTGCCCTCCAATAAGCACCCTTTTGGAACTCCCAACCTATAGATGCTTGCAAATGACACAAACATACACTGCAGCAGAGAAAAGCTGTATTAAGGTGGGATAACTGCCAAGGGTGTGTGCTGCGGTGCTAACAGCCGGCTGCCAGTGTGGAGCTGGTACGACGACGCCCCAATTCTGATCGAATGGGGGCGGGATGTGATTGTGTGTCTCCATTGACCCAAAGCCGTCAAATTGATATGATGAGTCAAGCCACCATGCAATTCCCTATGCAAATCCAATGACTATCCTTCTTGTGGGACAACTTTGGTGCCACAGTCACCTTGACGTCTTCAAACTGGTTCTATAAACGCATGGAGGGCAATTTGTCGCCACTAATCAGGACGGCGTGGCATAAATCAACCAAAAAGCAACTACGGAACCACACTCTGTATTAGACTCTGTATCTCCTTTGCTCCTGAAGAGGACACGATTTACATGGAAACACTGGGAGGCCACATGCCTGAGAGTGAAGATGAATTCCACAATCGACCCTGAAAGGGAAAGCTTTCGACGACTTGAATTGTTTGTTTGTTCTGGCCCTAAAAAGCCTGTGCCCCAGCAAATGTTCACCTGTGATGCCCGTTCTGGGCGCAGTTGGTGGTGGTCGCGCAGGTTGTGGAATCCGCAAGCCCTCGAAGGATCTAAAAGCCACAGCGATGAGTTGGATTTGCTTGAGGGACCAAGATAACATAACACCTACTCCCCAGAAGGGGATTCGCCATGATTCACCCATAGGGAAAATAACATATCACCTTTAGCAATACCAGGATGATATTGTGTTTCCATAACCTGTCCCTCCAGCAGTACAAGAAAGGCCCCTCATAAAAGACGATCTTTGTCTTACAAGCAGTGCTCCACCAACCAATGACCCAGTGAATCCAGTGACCACTGCATGGCTGGAAACCAGTGGTTCCAAAGACCAAAACCAAGGATCCTAGTCCGAAAAAGAACCCTTGCATGTTGTAGTAACTGGGATCCACTCTCTTAACTCGCTCACTTTCCCTGAAATACTGGTTATAAGTTATTATACGTAATCTGTTTCCACCTTGGGGTGTCAACCAGGTCTTGCAGGTGATTCACCTTTGGGGGACCAACTCCCGCCAAGGTGCACATCACTCACCTCGCGGCTTCGTCGTGCCAGCCGCCCCAGCTCCAGCGCCAGTGGCCAGCGCCCCTCGACCTCAAAGCGGCCTAGGCAGGTGCTCAGCAGGTTTGTGAAGGTTGAACCGTCCCTGGAGCTGGACTTGACCTGGCCTCATGTCTAGCACCTGAATTGGTGCAAGTCCCAAGGTGGAACAAAAAGGGTGGAACAATGGCCAGGGGCAACGAGGTGCTGCCTCTATTTTAGGATACAGTAATAATACATTATATTATATAAATCACATGATAAATCTATATAAATCTCTTTGGCTCCAAATCTGAGGTACTTCATGTGGTACCCGAGCCTTCCCTTGCCATTGGTGTGAGAGAAATGCTGAAACCACGAACTGTCTTTTTCGCTCTGAGAGATCTTCCGCTTCAGTCTGTCGTGTTCCACCAGACCACTCGATGGCACCCCACTCGATGGTCGAACTCGGTGTCGCCTCGTTGTGTCTGGTCCTGGTGTCCGGTATGCACGCGGGATGCCGCGAGCGGCTTACACTCCTTCAACATCCTCACGGATGCGGAATTTTGCACATCTCCTTGTAGAGGAGAGGTCATCCACGGGCCCATCCACTTCCATAATGATTTCAGGGAGTGCAGCCCCTGAAAGTACATACCCCAACACTGACAGATACATCGAACCCAAACGAGGTTAAACCCAAAGACACAAGCCCGGAACTGCCATCGAACCCAGGATCCATGGCACCAATCAATCAAACTTCCACACATTGGATCACTGCATGTGATAACACCTGAGTTTCTCAAAAAAAGACTTGTGTAATGGACTCTTCTTGCCAGGTCAAGGAAGGTTTTGCTGAATGCTCTTGTGATAACTGGAAACGAAGCGTCCACCTTTGAGGGTATGACACGTCTTGGATTTTTGTCGGGCGCTTCAGCATTCCAAGGACCATTTGCAATCCGATCACAGGACTGTCTGAACTGATTTTCCCAAGGAGTAATTGGCAGACCCAGACCCTGCTGACCCTCCTGGGGAGTTGAAGCAGGAATTCCAACTTGTTCGAACGCACGACACGGTGCAGTTGAGTGACTCAGCAGTGCATTGCCTCAAGTGATCAGGGGGGCACCATGGGGGGCCCACCAGGATCTGTTCTTCTTATATACCTCTGGGAAAGCCTGAGGTGTTGCTTGGGAGAGTTCTCTCCCTAGCAATACACGAGCAACGTTCGGAGATGTTTGGAACCTCATGGCTATCAGCAACACACACGGCAGCACTCATTTGTTGTTTCTTTTCCTTGCTCTAATTAGCCTATCAGCACAAGTTCAAGACATTCAGCTTCTTAGAATATGTGTGTAACTATGTGTTGTCCACATATCACAATAGTTTGACAAATAAACAACAAATCGTTGGTTTGACGTATCGACATAAAAACATATGCCAATCTTCAAAGGGCAGGCATTAAGTGCCACAAAGGTGCTCGGTTGCAAACAAAAAAGAAGTGCCAGGCCAGGAAATATGGATATTATGTGCAGGTTTTGTGGCGGGCGGGAGGGGAGGGCAGCGCCTCCCCATATCAGCAGACTCGGAAGAGCTTCAGATGCGACTCGTACGGTCTATTGTCATGGAATCCGAGAAATTAACCAATTGTTTCAACCCTTTTCCTTGACCACCCAGTGGTTTTGGGGGTTCCATCTGGTCCTCTGCAGGGGAGTAAAGCTCAAGACCCGCTAGCCGGTTGTGCTAGAGTCCTCGGTCAGAGTTTCAGACGTTCGTTTTAGCCAGCCATTTCACAGTTGAATCTATGCAGTTGCCACATCCCAACCTTGCTCCAAAACCTCATACGCTCCCCGTTTGGTTCTGACAAAGGTGGACGGTCAACTGAGTCGTTTTTTCATAGTTGAACCCCCTAAGAATTCATGAACCCTCCATGGCAGGGGTCGGACCCTCACTCCATTTGAGGGCACAGATTCTTTCAGAAAAAAAACACACATGTGATTCAACCAACCTGGACCAACCTGGATGAAAGGATGACTCGAAAGGTTGAAGGTGAAATCCAAAAGAGACACACTCCCGGGAATCTCCAAGAAAAACAGCATCTAACCTTTGTGGCTTGAGGATGCAAAAGCGTGTTGGATGGCTTGAGGATGCCTCAAAAATAAGGCATCCCAGCATTGGTTCATGAGGCTCCTGCAAGTGCTGATCTGAATTCGCGCTTTCCGAGGTGCGTGTGATGAGGCTCCTTTGTACCTGGCACTGTCCCATATTGTGGACGAGCTGGAGTGCTTGGTACCAAGGGAAGGAGCTCAGCAGGGCGTTGAAAGTGACGACCTAAGCCGGGAAAACAAGCGTCACCCAGGACCCGGAAGTGGCAATGTCTAAAGAGTATCAAACACAAACTCTGTAGTGGTCAAAACATGCAAGTGCTGAAATGATAGGATGCACCAAAAACTGCAAGATGCATGTCACGATGTCCGCTTCTAAGTTTGCCATGTTGGCGCAACGATGTGCATTGATGTGCATTCCACTGAGATCACAAAGGAACAAGAGACAAATCTTTGACAAACCCAGGGAGATCTGCCGTGAAGGGATCAAAAGTACTAGGTTCTTCTTGTGCCACTGGTGCCGGGCATTTAATGGGTACAAAACTCCTCAACTGCCTCTCAAATGGAAGGCACATAGTAGCTCTCTCCAGCGTACCAGATCCCATAGTACCTCTCCAAAGACCGCTGCTTTGAGGTGCCAAGGCACATTTGCTTCCAGGTGATTTCGTTTCGCTACGGTCATCAGCTGCAAGGAGGACTTCCAAAGGCTGACCTTCTCAGCAACACTGAGCACAGAGCCTGCAAGCATCAGGACATCATACCCTTCCGAAAACTCATGTGGACCCTGACACTTTCCCCGCTGGAAGATTGTAAACTTGCTTTTGATGGTCCATGTTCGTCTTCGGGGGGGGCACCGAACACCAATGGACCCACCTCGCAGTGGTGTGTTTTTTAGTGTTTCAGCATCCAATCCGAAAAACACAACTGGTTGTCTTGAGCGAAAGCAGGAGGTTTGGTCATCATGTGACAGGACCATGAGACGGGGGCAGTGTAGGTTTAGGACGCTCGGGTCCCAGCACAATACCTTACCTATAAAACACGTTGTTTTTGTAACGCTCGGCTCGGGGTGTCCAGTGTCTTCTCAACAGCCTCCAACAGGTGCATTTCGGGGTGTCCCAAAAACCACCGAACGAGACCCTCAACAAAACACAAAGCTTTTCTACGACAGGTCGCTCAAACCCAACGCCACACAGCACACGACTGCAGCAAGGTATGAAATGCCTAGCTCTGTGGGTTTCGGTCCTGAAAAGAGGGGGAGGTTCGGAGACCGAAAGTTCATCCACCTCCGATCTTCAGGGTTCCTGGATCCGCAAGAAAAGAGACGACCAGACAGGAGGTGGTAAACGACCATCAAACCGCCACCGGAAACCATGATCAACCGGAAACAATCTAAGACCCGCCTAACCATTGTTGGACCTGACCACTTCTGGAGGTTTTTGACCCAAGAAAGCAACAGGTTGGACCCGAACCAAACCTTCACCTTTGAGGGTCCTTGATTCTTAGGGTAACAAGTTACAACGTTTAGCTGCATGGAGTGGACGAACCTCCGGTGCACAAACCTGGGGAAGCGTCGTTCAGCGGTAGAAGGGTGGCCAGCTGTGCTTGTTTTCAAGGTCCAGACTGACCTTCAAACGAGCACCAAGGCATTTTTCACAGCTCAAATCAGTTTCACCAGCATGGCCAAGATGGTCAAACAGTTAGCTGCCTTACAACAAACTCAAGTACACCATGCTAGCATCAACATAATTTGAGAATCTTTGAGATGCTGAAAATGAATGAGCATGATAAAAATCCCAAAACAACATACTAAACTTCAAACGCACGTCGGATCACCAGGGTCTCTCTCCCGAACATGGTTTCATCTCCCATGCAATGGCATCGGGATAGTTGTGGGTCAAGTCGTGGCATTTCTGGCGAACATGCAATCCCAAACACTGTATGGAGTATATGCATACATTTCACATTGACCCCAGAAATCACCCATGGCCGTAGCTACTAGTATATACATGAAGTGTCTGGGATTGATGTCAACCCTAACGCTACGTTGGTCACTTCTGTAAGGAAAACCGTACCAAAAATGAGACTTGAAGAACGAACACTTGATCATAATTGACCCCTGGAAAACAGGAGTTAGAGGACACACTTCGATATTGGTTTTCAGTTAACTCAATTTCCAGGAAAAAGGTGATGGAACGGAAAGGTGAAAAAGTTGGCGCAATTGAATTGTTGAACAATGTTTATGCAAGACTGCTCAATGATCAGCGCGGCTGCACATCTGCAGTGGAAGAATGGGTTTGTGGGGAGTAGCATGAAAACCACTATGGCAGCAAAAAAGGAAAGTGGAGTGACAGCTTGTGAAAAACTCAGCAGGTACATGGTTGAGCGTCCTCAACCACTTCCTTTCCAGTGACCCAGCTTCGTTGGATCAGGTTAGTCACTGGAAGCCTGATCCCCCTGCCTTGAACTTGGAAGGAAAGGCGAGTGAATTAACCCTTCGAAACAGAGCTGGACACACACACGGTGCCGCTTGGCGAAAGAAAGCCTTAGAAACGAAAGAAAGAAAGACAGAAAGAGCAGCGCTAAGAGGGCAAGAGAGAAAGATAGGTGTAGAAAAAAGAAAAGTGAATACTTAGCCCTTGACTTGGGTAGGGAAACGAGCCTCAAGAGCCACCTAAAAAGCCTGAGAGAAAGCCCAACAAACGACGGAAAGCGCAAGAAAGAAAAGGGGGGGCAGGGAGGGGGTGTATGTCCATGTGTGTGTACGTGTGTGTGTTTGAATACCTAGCACTCTAGGATTACTGACTACTTAGCCGAGACGAATTACAGTGCAATAGTTAGGGTAGAGTAGACTAGAAAAGGGACAACAGAGGGAAAGGCACCGACACACAAGTGTGTCGAGTACCATTTCCCTATGTTACCCTGATTAGGTAGGGAGTAGAACGCAGTGGGGGGAGGGGTCGGGAGACCTGCCTCAAGTGGGGGGTGGGGGGAAAAGCCTTTTTTAAGCCCGGCGGCTGGCAAATTCGTTTTTAAGCCCGACGGCTGTATGAGCAGTGAATTCAGGGTGGAGAAGGAGCGGTGAGGAAGAGTCAATGAAGGAACGATGATTCAGTAACACGATTTCCGGCATGCAAACGGCGCCTCCTTGCGGAGGATCACACCCAGCACCCACGTGGGACGGCTGAGCGGCTCACACTTCGATATTGGTTTTCAGTTAACTCAATTTCCAGGAAAAAGGTGATGGAACGGAAAGGTGAAAAAGTCGGCGCAATTGAATTGTTGAACAATGTTTATGCAAGACTGCTCAATGATCAGCGCGGCTGCACATCTGCAGTGGAAGAATGGGTTTGTGGGGAGTAGCGTGAAAACCACTATGGCAGCAAAAAAGGAAAGAGTGGAGTGACAGCTTGTGAAAAACTCAGCAGGTACATGGTTGAGCGTCCTCAACCACTTCCCTTCCAGTGACCCAGCTTCGTTGGATCAGGTTAGTCACTGGAAGCCTGATCCCCCTGCCTTGAACTTGGAAGGAAAGGCGAGTGAATTAACCCTTCGAAACAGGGCTGGACACACTCTGACAATTGTATTCAGTTAACTCAATTTCCCGATGGGAA